TTCATTTCACAAGCTACAGGTGAAATGAAGCCTACAATACTTACTAGTGATGAAGACCCAGCTTATACGACACAAAATGTTCGAGATCTGTTGGTCAGTCATAACATTGAGCACATGACGACACAGAAATACAATCATAACATACTAGGTATTATTAATAGGTTCTGTAGAACTATTAGAACTATGTTACATATGAAGTTAAACCTCAAAGAAGGTGATAAAACACCACCTTTCACTGCAGATACAATGAGACAAATTATTAATGACTACAACACTGAATATCATTCAAGCACACAACAAAAGCCTGATGATTTCACAGAAAAGGATAATGAGGAATATATAAAGAAGCAAAGATTGAAAGAAGAGTATGTCAGAAAAAATAACCTTTATAACTTAAGACCTGGTCAAAAAGTTCAAGTCATAGTTGAACCAAGAACATGGGGTAAAGGTAACCAACAAAGAAGACATCTTGATCCTTCTTATTATACAGTTGATTCAGTTGATACAAGTGCATACTTGTTAAGAGCAAAAGATGGAAGTGTTGCAAGATATCCACGTTATCAGATATGGACAAAAATAGAGCATGGATTAAAGCAAGGAGAAACTTTAGATCAAGGAAGACACGGTGCTGTTAAAAGTATTGATGGTCATGAACTTGTCGGTAATGATGTAAAGTATGATGTACGTTTGAGAACGAAAATACAGGAAAAGTGACAGGTAGAGGTATGCGTGAAGGTAATCCAAACAGGTTGTCACAAATGGAAGTACAGTATTGGAGGAAAAATATTAATGAAGGTCATGTTAAAGATATGCCTAGTTTTCTTGAGAAGTATCGTGGGTTTCGAGTTTAGCTTGTAAGTCCTTTATTTTTGTTTCATACAATGAGATCTTCCTTCTGATCTGTTCATCATTGAGAGGTTGCTTGACTTTACGGAACTGTACACGTCCGTCTTTCATTGTATGTACATAATATCCATCAGGAACCTTACCATCTTTTATATATTCAGTTAACCACTTTTGTTTAGTTGATGCTTTAATGACTTGACTCATTTCTTACTGGATAAATTTTTATGTTTTTTATCTTTTGACGATTTTTTCTTATCCTTATCTTTCTTCTTGTCCTTGTCCTTCTTTGATTTATCCTTCTTCTTGTCCTTGTCCTTCTTGGACTTCTCTGCTGCAGGTGGTGTTGGATTCTGTTTGACTTTAGCACTTGGGTCAGGACCTTGTCTTTGAGACTTAGATATAGATTGTTTAGGAGCTGCTGCTTGTTTAGTTGCTTCAGCTTGTTGTTTAGCTAATTCAGCAGCTTGTTTATCATTCTCTTCTATTTCCTTTGCACCAGTTGCGACTTCATTCTTGAACTTTTGGAGATTCTCAGCAGCATCCATTACCTTATTCGCTCCTTTAAACAATCCATAAAATTTCTGCCATGGTGATACTGAAGGTATATTTCCACCAATTGCTGGAGGAACTGATGCTTCAGGAGTTGGAGATGGTGTTTTGTCTGAATTGAGATGCTTTTCTGCTTCAAGAACTTGTGTAGTATTTTTCTCCAGGTATGCTTTTGCAACCTCCTTAACTTCTGGACGTTCATTATTTACATCCTGTCTTGGTGTTGATGTTTCAGTAGCGTTTTCCTGAGTTACATTAACAACAGGTTGCTCAACTGCTGAAACATTAGCTGCTTCAGTAATGTTATGAGTAGTTGAAACATTTCCTGATATACCTTCTCCTGTTGGAACTCTTGGAGCAATTGTTGTGATGTTCGCCATTGCAGGAGTTGGAGTAGGAGTGTCATCAATCTTTCTGTCAGCTTTCGTCGTTTGCGTTGTAGTATTTGTTGTTTCATTACCATATTTTGATCTTAGTCTGGTAAGCTCTAACTTCATATGTTCTTCAGGATATGCATACTTATTATATTCACCCTTAATATTCTTTTTCCATTCATCGTATTTATCTTCTGCTGATTTCTTAATTGATGCTAGTCCGTTTACAGCCAATTCATCAGTACCGTTATCAGTAGTCTGGTTATATAAAAGATTAGCAGCTGATCTAATTGTGTAATCCGTAAGATTACCAAAACGCTCTATTGTACCTAATGTTGTGTTCTTCAGTTCCTTTCCAATTCCTTGTGCAGCATCTTTGACTAAATCAGCACCCCATGCACCAAATTGTCTCACAGGAGCCGCTATTGATGGTGAAGGAGATGGAGATGGCGATGGAGTTGGTGATGGTGAAGGAGATGGAGATGGTGAAGGAGATGGAGTTGGCGATGGTGTTGCTGCTTTCGCCTTTCTATCAGCTTCTTCCTTAGCCTTTCTATCTGCTTCTTCTTTCGCCTTTCTATCTGCTTCTTCCTTAGCCTTACGAGCTTTTTCTTTCTTCTTAAGTTCCTCTAGTTCTTTACGTTCAGCTTCTTCTTTCGCCTTTCGTTCAGCTTCTTCCTTAGCCTTACGAGCTTTTTCTTTCTTCTTAAGCTCCTCTAGTTCTTTACGTTCAGCTTCTTCTTTCGCCTTTCGTTCAGCTTCTTCCTTAGCCTTACGAGCTTTTTCTTTCTTCTTAAGCTCCTCTAGTTCTTTACGTTCAGCTTCTTCTTTCGCCTTTCGTTCAGCTTCTTCCTTAGCCTTACGAGCTTTTTCTTCATAATATTTTGTATACTTATCATCAGCCCAATTACCAAGTGATTTGGCACCTGTTAGTATTCCATTTGCGGTTGATGTTGCTGTTCTTCCGAGCCATCCCCCTACCGCTGAAGCACCATTGCCAATAGCACTACCAGCATTTAAAATTCCACGACCAATCCATATCCCTGGTTTTGCCTTTGTATTAAGAGTAAGAAATTCTTCCTTCCTATCTTCAGGTGTAGGATTTGTAACAGTTCTTACAGTATCAACAACAGTGTCAACACTGGTTCCAATAGCACTACCAACAGCTGTTGCACCAGTTAGAATACCATGGGTAACTAAATCAGTAGCTCTTGAGACAACATTATCACTCGAGGCTTTCTCTGCTGGATAGTTTGATCCTTTGTAAGTTCCTGGACCACCTCTATTTGAAGCTTCTCCTTCAACTATTTTCTTCTCTTCTTGTGCTTGTTCTCTGGCAACACTCAATGCACGTTCTTGTCTTTGAATGTTGTCTTTCTTTAACATGTAACCACCAAGTGTCTGTGGTGGTGTGTTTTTATCTAGTGCAGCATCAATTGCAGCCTTTTCTTTTCGCTTTTCTTCGTCTAACCAATTTTGAATAGATTCTGCATCAGTTGGTTCAGCTGGAGTTGGAGACGGTGTTGGAGCTTTAGTTGGTGTTGGAGACGGTGTCGGAGCTTTAGTCGGAGTTGGAGATGGAGTAGGTGCTTTTGTAGGTGTCGGTGATGGAGTTGGAGATGGAGTTGGAGGTACTGTTGGTTCTGGAGTTGGTTCAACAGTCGGTGAAGGTGTTGGCGCCTTTGTGATTCTTGGAGTTGGCTCTGGTGTTCTAATAGGGGAAGCAGTTGGTGTATTAGCTCTTTTAAGAACCTGTGATCTTTCCGCTTGATTTGAATCAGATACTGGGTTAGTTGTACTAGGATGTGATACAGGAGTTATTTTTGGTGTAGGTGTTGGTTTATTTAATGTTATACCATGACTACTCGACATTGGTGGAGGACCTGCGTGAGCAGTTGGTGTCAGAGTTGGCGTTGGAGCTACTGTAGGAGTTGGCGTTGGAGCTACTGTTGGTTCAGGAGTGGGAGTTGGTGTTGGAGCTACTGTAGGAGTAGGTGTAGGAGTTGGTGTTGGAGTCGACATTTGTTTTAACCTCTCATTATACCAATTCTCCAAATAATAAGCCTCACCCATTAAGTTACTCTGTCTTTGTTTTATAGAAAATTCACCTAACAGTAATTCATCATGAATCATTTTCTGCAGCTTTGTCGTGTTTTCTACTTCCTTTATTAGAACGCTCGATGTATTCGCCAATCCTCTATATTCCTTAATCATCTTATCTAGTTTGTTCATATTTGGTACTTCCTTTTTCTTCTCAGCGTTAATCTCATTAGATCGTTTCTCCAATTCTTCAACTACTTTGTAAAGCTTATTTATCTTGACATGTGATTCCTTTACTTCTCCAGTCCTTGGATCCTTAGGTTCCTTGTATTTAGCTAATTTCGTCTCTATATATCTTCGTTTAGCGTCATATCCAGGATCACTGGTTCGTAAAGGATGCGAAGGTGGACGAAAATAAGGTATGTAGAAATCTGGATCATCATTAATAGAAGAACGTGCTTTAAAGTTACGAACCGCGTCTGTAAAAGGGTCTCTACCACGTGCTGTATATGTTGATGTAATCAAAAAGCCTTCTCTTCTCATTGGGAAATTAATACGACCTTTTTGAACATATTCTTTCTCAAAGTATTGCCTAGCATTGTAATCAAAAGCAAGATCATTATATATATCGCGCAAAAAATCAAATGTATGCTGCTTGAACTTTTGATCGCTAATTATGGTACGAATTATCGGACGTTCATTCTCCCATTTCTTAACTCGTTCATCAATGAGTTTCCTCTCTTGTTCACTCATTTAAACCTCATAAAAATATATTATCTGCGTATAGTGCCACTAATAGCATTAATCCATGGCATGTCTGATAGTACACGTACTGACTGAACTAATGGCTTATGATTGTTCCAAATAGCTCCTCCAATGTATGCGTTATACTTATTGTTGTCAATAGTTTGTTGAGGTTGAACTATAGGTGTTTCAACAGGCTTGTCTCTACTGAAGTCACCACCAAGAGCTTTATTGAATGCTTTAAGATTCTTCGTTAATGCATTATCTTCACCTAATGTAGTTTTTGCAATTCTTTCACCAAGACTACCGATAACACCACCGACTTGACCAACTTGAGGGAAAAGTTTGTTAGCAATGTTAAATCCAGCACCTATTACAAGACCAGGATTTTTTTTCACCATACCCCATCCAGCTTTAACATAATCGCCAAAACCCATTTATTTCTTCTTAAAATAATGTCATCTTTTGTTGCTTAACTTCTTTAAAGTCCGTCTTTCCTGCAACTATATGAACTTCCATATATGAACGAGGTGTTGGTAGCTCTTTGTATTTGTTCCATAACTCTTCCCAATCTTCTGTTGCTCCTGACTGTTCAATCATTGACTGAAAGTCTCTCATAGAATAACCTTGAAAGATAACGAAGTCAGTGCATAGTCTCTTAATGTTTAAACATATATGTCTCCATGTTTGACACATGATGACAACAGTATAGTTATAATGTCTGACCTTAGTGATGAAGTTCGCTAATGGTGAACGTGGGTCATTCAATAAGTCATGACCACCATAATCGTCTAACACTAATAGAGAATTACTGGGATACTTTGTGAAAGGATATTTGTTCAACTTCTTTACAACATATATTGCAATCTTCTTATACTCAAACTTTCCATCAGGTTTCCTTAGTTGATGCTTTGTTAAGATGTGTTCCATCTCCTCTGAAATTTTTTCGAACTTACTTTGAACGAACTCAACAATAGCGTAATACTTTGCTTTCATCTTAACGTTCTTCATTAAATAAGGCATAAGTTCTTTATCATCCTTTTTCAGTACTGGTGCTTTAACTTGACTCATAAATGTCTTCGCTGTTTTATCCATTGTTCCTGATGTTGCTGAGATAACTATTGAGTCATAATATGGAGTATTAGTGAAGCGGTCTGTTATCATTATATGACGAATAACACCATATGTCTTACCTGAACCCATCTTACCGCAGTAGAAATAAACACCATTAGTACAAAATGGATAATCATCAGAAAATGGCATAATGAGTGCATTGTTTAGTTCTTTACTATTCTTACGTGCTCCATCATGAAGAATCTTATCTACTTGATTAATAACTTTCTCCATCTTTTAGTTACATATAAAATGTCTAAATATGATGGATTATACTATGAACATGTTATGAATGATGGCACGATAAGTGGTAATACAGTCTCATATAAATTACCGAGAGACTTCATTGAATATCCTGCGTCAAAAGCTCTTGAGATAAGAAAGATAAGTCTTGAGCATCCAGACTTTGAGTTTCTTGCTATTCCATTAGAAATGACAGATTCATCAAAATCAGTGAAAAAAAGGTTTGACATGAGATATTACATAAAACCCAACATGACTACACAGGAGTTGAATGAAGGTCTTATGGAAAAAATGACTGAGGCAAGTAGAGAATTTGTTGATTGTTACTATGATTCAAATGAAAATAAATTGAATGTATTAAGAAAAGGTACATCACCAATCATAACATTACCTTCATACAGTAGTATAGAAAAAAATGCCTTGAATTATAAATATGACATGTCCCTAGGAGATGTGTTGGATTTCATCACTGCGTTATTAGAAACCACTGAAACAGACACAACATCAAGAAAACCAGAGCTTGTTTGGGAAGATGACCATGGTAGAACATTCACGCAAAAAGTAATTCCATCGAAAGCAAAATTTTTAGACTTATGGGAAAAAAAATATATCTCGCGAATGCATGTATATTATAGTTTTACCATAGCAGATTTCACTGACGAAAATGATAAAGATAAAAAAACATATAAGTACTTTGATGAGCTTTTCATAACTATAGCGAATATCAGGTTTATCCTTGAGCGAAAGGGCAAACCAACATATAAATTTGTCGGTTATCAGATAAGAATAAATCCTCTCCTTGAGCCTTTAGTAACGTTGAGTAATATTGCTCATGATAACAAACAATTTATATGTAATGTGAATGAACAGCTTGTGCCACCAAAATTTTACGATATCACTGGTTATAAAGATGCACTCGTGTTTGAGTTTTATAAGCGCTTTTCATTCAAAAGAGTTGAAGAATCAACTGATGGTCAAAAAAAGGAATATTATGTAAAAGAACCATATGAAATTCCTAAAGACTCTAATATAATGGTTGAACTTATATTAGAGTCTGGTACTCAATCTCAACATAAATAGTTTACGTGACAGAATTTTTTTGACACGTAAAGTTTACATTTTAATGGAAGCGAACAACAAAGCTCCTGCTAGTGAATAAAGGTTAGTTTACATATGAACGTTTATTTTTACACATATATGCGTACATATGCGCGCCCGTATGGTGTCAGTTTTCTGTCACTTTTTTCATTGTGTCGGTGACTGTAGCTGTAGGCTACAGGCGACGCACAATGTATACTGTACTTTGAAAAGCAGAAATTTTCAAAGTTCATGTCCAACAGAATATCACACGGATTTACACAATATGGAAATACAATAAATCAAACTTCTCAACAATGATAACAGTATATAGAAAAAGTGTGTCTTAAAATTGATTTAGGTCTTATTTTTTTTGACATATAGACAACATAAATACCCGAAAATTAGTTTATGTATGAAATTGAAGTGTAGTATAACGGTTAAAACTGCCGAGTTGGCTTTATTTTTGGGGATCCAAGTTCGATGCAGTACATTTAATTTTTTTTATTTATTTATTTAGTTTTCATTAAGGGTCCACTGTAAGGCCAAATAAGGCCTATCGTCATCCCAAAAATATTGCTCAAGATGGTGTTTTACTAAGGCCCAAAACTTAAAAAAACACAAAAAAATTAACTTTACTCTTTTGAGATCCTTATCAGATATGCATCAATTTGATGCAGTATCGCAGTTCAAATCTGATTTTTTAATGTAGATGTACTCTAACATTCTTGAAAAAATGCAAAATGGTATTAATTAAGCTTTTCATTTCTGTATCATACACGAAACAAAATCGTTCATTATACTAAAATTTATCAAAGTTTGATTAATGAAAAAATAATATCTAAATTTTTACATTTAGTCGGCTATTGATATGGTTAATATTAAATCTTGTAAAAATTGGCATTATCCAGAATAATACCCACTAAAATACACAATTTTTTAAGGGTCCACTGTAAGGCCAAATAAGGCCTATCGTCATCCCAAAAATATTGCTCAAGATAGTGTTTTACTAAGGCCCAAAACTTAAAAAAACACAAAAAAATTAACTTTACTCTTTTGAGATCCTTATCAGATATGCAACAATTTGATGCAGTATCGCAATTCGAATCCGATTTTTTAATGTAGATGTACTCTAACATTCTTGAAAAAATGCAAAATGGTATTAATTAAGCTTTTCATTTCTGTATCATACACGAAACAAAATCATTTATTATACTAAAATTTATCAAAGTTTGAATAATGAAAAAAATAATATCTAAATTTTTACATTGAGTCGGCTATTGATATGGTCAATATTAAATCGTTTAAAAATGGGCATTGGCCAGAACAAGTTCATCGAGTCGAAGATTTGGTTGTACACCACTTGTATGTGCCGGATACCATTGTGTCAAATTTTTTCTGAAATTAACTTTAAAAGTACTAAGTAAGATCATGAGATATAGCAATATATGTTTAAACCAACTTATATTTTGGTTGTACACCACTTGTATGTGCCGGATACCATTGTGTCAAATTTTTTCTGAAATTAACTTTAAAAGTACTAAGTAAGATCATGAGATATAGCAATATATGTTTAAACTAACTTATATTTTGGTTGTACACCACTTGTATGTGCCGGATACCATTGTGTCAAATTTTTTCTGAAATTAACTTTAAAAGTACTAAGTAAGATCATGAGATATAGCAATATATGTTTAAACTAACTTATATTTTGGTTGTACACCACTTGTATGTGCCGGATACCATTGTGTCAAATTTTTTCTGAAATTAACTTTAAAAGTACTAAGTAAGATCATGAGATATAGCAATATATGTTTAAACCAACTTATATTTTGGTTGTACACCACTTGTATGTGCCGGATACCATTGTGTCAAATTTTTTCTGAAATTAACTTTAAAAGTACTAAGTAAGATCATTTATTTTTGCATAATATAATGCCAATATGGTTTCTTTTGATTTTATTTCATTTATAAGCAAATCAGATTTACCCAAAAACTCCACTCCATAAGCGTTCATTTGCTAAATTAAAAAGTGACAATGGGCTAGTCTGTCCCTTTCTCAAAAAATTCGAAAAAATCATGTTCTTATAAAACTCACTGATTTTGCAATTTTTATGAGATTTGAAGTGATAGAATATATTACCATCTTATTGAAACATATGCTTCATTGTTGTATTCACATAATATTAATCAGAACACTAGGAAAAGTGGATTTTCGAAAAATGACGATAATGATTATTTGCAAATCGCCTCTCAATTTTGAGAGACTTTCAATTTTTACAGTGGACCCTTAATGGATGAATTTAGGGTTGTTAGATTCCCGACGATAGGTGTCTTGGAAGATTTGCCTGGTGTCATCATAGTGTCTTTAAATCAAAAATTTTATTTTGGAGTTAGTTTTATTGATTTTTCAATAAAAAACATTTCTAAAACAAGAAAATAAAACGATAAAATATTTATATTTTATATAAGGATCTTATATATTTAAAATAAATATCATTTTATTTTTTTCATTGGTGTTTGTCAAACCATAATACACTATTCAAAAATTCAATGTGTCTTGCGGTTTCAAAAGACACCTTCAAATTGAACGATAGCACAAACACTATTGAATTTTACCCATTTTATTTAGTTTTTACCCTTTTTATTTTTAAGAATTAATGACTGAAACAGCCGTTTTGCTATGACCTCAATCACTTTTATTAAGGGTTTCGTTTTGCGAAAAAAACGTACAATACGCAATTTCGCTAAAAAAACATTTAGCTAGCAATTTCGACCTTTGACTCCACTCAAGACGTCACTTTTTTAATTTTGCGGTATCATATTTTTGGAAAATCTTTATGAATATTATATAAAAGTCTCTTTAATATCTATATTTCATATTTTTATCGATTTTTAAAGTTTTTGCGAAAAGTATTCAATTATTTTTGCTATTTGGTCGGGTAAATGTCAGATTTGCGACATTTTCTGATATGATATTCAGATTCTACGTTGATAATAATGCTTATAGAACCCTCTTGCTATTGTGTCAAAATTGCGAAACCGATAGCAAAAATATCTCGCAATATCAAAATTGAGATATTGAGTGAATTATGCATTATAGAGATTAAAAATCTGATTTGTGAGTACAGTATACATTGTGCGTCGCCTGTAGCCTACAGCTACAGTCACCGACACAATGAAAAAAGTGACAGAAAACTGACACCATACGGGCGCGCATATGTACGCATATATGTGTAAAAATAAACGTTCATATGTAAACTAACCTTTATTCACTAGCAGGAGCTTTGTTGTTCGCTTCCATTAAAATGTAAACTTTACGTGTCAAAAAAATTCTGTCACGTAAACTATTTATGTTGAGATTGAGTACCAGACTCTAATATAAGTTCAACCATTATATTAGAGTCTTTAGGAATTTCATATGGTTCTTTTACATAATATTCCTTTTTTTGACCATCAGTTGATTCTTCAACTCTTTTGAATGAAAAGCGCTTATAAAACTCAAACACGAGTGCATCTTTATAACCAGTGATATCGTAAAATTTTGGTGGCACAAGCTGTTCATTCACATTACATATAAATTGTTTGTT